GCACAGGTGGAGGACAGGGCCAAGCCTACTCTTCACTGCTGAATTATTTGCCATCAACAGATTCAAGAAGCAGGGAAATCACAGCCTGCAGTTGTATTCATACTGCTGACCCTCCAGGCTTCAGCAGATAGTTCCAATACCCTCACAGATGGCCTGGGTAAACTAAGTAGGTCACAAAAAAATCAAAAGTCAAAATCTGGAAAAGGAGTGAGTGGTTATCAGGGATGGGAGGGAGGTAAAGGAGGATAGGTGATGAGAGTAATCAGAATACACTATATAAATCTAGGAAACTGTTAAAGAAAGAAATTAATAAAATAGAAAAATGTCTCTGGCAAAAAAATATGCAAAAATTTCATTCAGTAGAAGACACCCAAAAACAAAGAGGACAGTGGGAGGGAACAAGAATGGACTACATAGAGGTCAATTATTAATAGCCAGATTTATTCATTTCCAGACTATCACCCTTTGTCCAAAAAGGCTTATGTAAAAAAAAAAAAAAAAAAAAAAAAAAAAAAAAAAAAAAACTGAGTGGAAAAAATGTGCTAACTACTTAACTACTTCAGGAATTGTAACCGTTTACTGAATTTCATGAGATATCACAAAGCTATTGATCTAACACTTGATCTATTATGCTTCTATACTTGATAAAATATTGTAGAATACCAGGAAAGTGTTCAAAAATCATACTTCATAAATGCACCACTTAAAGAGGATTCATTATTTAATTCACTTAATCTGTCTCTGTAGATGCCAGGGGAGGTGAAGGAACCACAGAATACACCCAGTCAAAACTCCATCACACCCAGGCCATTCTAGCCAGGAGAAAACCAGAAATTAGAATGCAACATTTGACTTGGAAGAGCTTGCAGGTTTATAACTAATTTTCAATATATTTACTTTTTTCTTTTAAATGATACAATCAAAATAGATCCTTAAGCAAACAGAAAGAGTAGAAAACATTACCAGCACAAATGATTATACCTTTAAAAAAAATCTTAGTTCTATGTTTAAAGAAGATCTATTTGTTAAAATTGGGAGGGGAGGGAGAGAGACTTATGCAGGGATACAAAGTGAATGAAGTGTAATTAATAAAATAAAATTTAAAAAATTTCTTTATTGCATCTTCATATTTTATTTTTATCACTGAAGCCCATGTTAAAAATCTAACAACATGAGGATATACCTACACTAAGCTTATGCTTTGTTAAAACAGAAAATCTACGTAAACTGTTTACTTAGCTTTATTTATTTTAACTCATATTTTATTTCAAGGATGTTCTGCTTTAGAGAAGAAAACATGTTGGAGGCAAAACATATTTTTAATTTGCTTGACTACATCAAATCTAGTAATCTGAATACAAAACAGGTTTGTAAAACAAGAAAAGATGACATATATATACTATATAATTTTGAACATACTAGTTTCTGTTAGTCATGGAAGGAAAACAATTACAAGCTTTCTATAATATCCCCGGTTTACAATTTTTTAAAAAAAGTAACAATAAAAATGTTCCAACAACCATATTTTCTTTATTATTTTCTTTCCAAGATAAGCATGTGTAATGCAGAGTTTAATGTTAGCTAAAAAATAGTGGGGCAGGTGGGGCCAGAACTTTACTGGCAGATTTGGCCAAAAGCTAACAGTGATGGAGTTATTGCCAGCCTGACTTAAATAACTAAAAAAAACATAGTCTACTGGTATATATACCAAAGATGAAGTGTTGGTAGAGAATTTTGCAACTAGCGGTGTCAGTTTTCAGAGGAAAATACTAAGTTTTGCTGTTAGAAAACAAAACCACCATAAATGTTTTCACTCAATAATAAAAAATCCTGTGCAATCTCTACACACACTGTGGTTTGGAAGATACAGCCTTTGGTAATTCAGTGTAATCAAAGACACATTTTTAAATCTTCACAGATACCACAAAGAAACAAAAGGAACCAATACTTAGTGTACATGCAGATAAAAACACCTATATAAAGAATACCACATACATTTTGAAGAAATAGCAAATTCTAAAATAAGGTTGTTTTATTACACCTAAGCATTTATAAATTTGATGTTGCTATTTACGTGTTAAAAGTTATGAACTTTAAAATACTGAAATTCTTCATTGTTCCATCTTTTTTTTTTGTCTTTTTTTAATTATACTGTATTTACTAGTTCTCTCCCTCCTCCCCTCCCAATTCTTCCCTTCCTCCCCCTTCTCCACAGACTCCTCTCCCCAAGTCCACTGGTAGGGAGGGTTTCTTTTTCTTCCTTCTGATCCTAGTCTGTTAGGTCTCTTAAGTGGGAAGAAACAGCTAATGTAGTTGTGTGAGCAGAACTCTAGTCTCTACAGCTTTTATGCAAATCATTTCCAAACCTAGAGTCGAGAGTAGTCATAAGAAACATATTGCCGCAATAGCTGCAACAGACCAATAAGAAATCAGTTACCAAAAATATCACCCATGATTCCTAGTGCAACTGCACAGAGCTAGTTAAACGACTGCGCAACTGCGTTTACTGCTATTTCAACTAAAAGTAAAATCAAAATACTGTATCTGTAGAATAAGCCTTGTGGCCATTCTGTTTGACACTTGGAGATTTCTAGACTTTCATTCTAAAGGCTATCTGTCATCTTGGATCCCATTTTTCCAGGAATTCAATCTATTGTTAAAAGAAATGTCATAACTTGGATTTCAGACTTTAGTGTTTCAGAAATATTTTTATATGCCACATAACTACCTTAAGACAGACAAGGTAAACATCAGCAATATAGTGGAAATATAATTGAAAATGCAGCAGTCCAGGAGTTCTTAAGGGGATGATGTCTCTGAAAAGCTCCTCAAAGCTTCAGAGTTTGAAGTTAAATTTTTGATGTTGTCACTCTCAATCTATTCACTGGCTGACAGACAATCAAACCCGTCTGGCTGGCTGGCAGCTCATTTTGCTGGCAGGTGGCAAACAATTAGACACACCAATTTGTGCCTCCTGATGACATTAAAGCATGAAACTAAGTTGTATGCAGGGCCTAGTGATTTGTGTGAAAGCATTTCAAAAATAATACTCCTTGCCGTGGCGACTCATTTCAGACTGCCACCTCCCATTACGGCTTTGAGCAGTGAAGACGACAGACTTGAGTTACGTGCAGTGCAAGGCCGCTTCTGTTCAATCCGTCATCAGTGCCCCTGAGACCTCAATCCCCTCCTTTCATCAATATCACCTCATCATTTACATGTGCTAGGACTTGAGCTACTGCATATATTAACTACACGAAGACTCTTCCTAAAAGAATAAAAACATGAAAAACATGCTTTGTGCTCTTCCATTTCATTCCAGTTAACAATTTAGAATAATGATTCCACTCCTACTGCATTTTGCACAAATACTACCAGGAACAAATGAAAAGTCCTATTGTTTCAAAACAACATTCTGGAGAGTATAAATGCTCTAGCTAAGAAAAGTGGCCATTCAGGTGACAGCTGTAAATTGTAATGAAAACATCTGAATAAAAAATCCAAATCAACACAAAAACATTTTGCATAATTATATCAAATCCTCTATAAATCTCAGTAATTGTCTAGACGTGTTAATTTGATTTGTATTTTGACAAAATGTAAAGATATAATTTAAAATTAAATTGGACAACTTCAACTACTTTATTAATTTGTGATATATAGTATATAGACACTGATAGTCTTATGTGCATAGAGAAGAAGGCACAGATTGACACAAACCCATAGGCATAAATACACTCATATCCTGCAAAGATAACTTGAATATGTGGAATACAGATGTAATGTGAAATGCCAGAGGGAACAATCACCATGTGAATAAATATTAAACTACTAAATAGCCAACAACTATTTAATCCAAACTTTAAGAAAAGTATTTTCTGCATTTCGGTCTTATAATTTCCCACATCTTAGAAACTTTTAATAGCCATCTTTATATAATGGTTAGTTCTGAAAATTATGTTATATATCCACTCAGTAATAAATAAACATTACTTATTCTGTTTTGCCTATATGTTGATCTTGGTAGTTTAGCTTTAAGAAACACTGATTCCTAAACTAAATCTTTATCACTAAAGCTTTATCACTAAAGATGAAAGCACTTATTTTTCAATTCTCTCTCTCACCCACAAATTCTTGGTATGAAGATATGTTTCAAACAAAGAGTTAATTCATACAGTACACCTGTACCAACCTTAGTGTACATATCAACACGTAAATGTAATTTAAACTGTACAGTAAGCCAATGCTCGAGCTTTCTTGCTGGCAATGAGTGCACACCTGCAGGAACGTTCTGCTGCTACACTTGACTTAAATTGTAAAATATTAAATAAAATTATTTTTTATATCTGTAACATTTTATTGTGATATACTTAATTGTATATGTAGTGGAATTGAAAAAGGAACCAGTTGCTTCCAAATTTTTTGAATGATTTTTATATTAAAATGTAGATATATGGGCCAGGTTCTAAGTAAAAAAAAAAAAAAAAAAAAAAAAAAAGGCTGTGCAAAAATATTTATTTTCAAATATCTGGCAAAATGTTTTATACTGATGACAGAAATTTCAGGAAAAGAATCACAAACCTTTGTTTGTATTTTTCAATAAATATCAATCAAAAATTAAAATTAAATGAGACTATTTAAACGAAGTGTTTAAAATCTATAATAATATTGCAACATTTTATAATGTCAGAAAAGACTTGGAGAGAGTTGTCCATCCATTTCAAAGAGAGAACATTTAAAGCAAAAGAGAAAACAGATTCCCCAGTGTGTGATCCATCTTCAGTGGTAGATTCCTACCTGGTGCTGTGTTCACCATTTCCAGCATGGAGTGCAACTTACCACATAATGCCTCATCCCAGGCTCCATCCTGTGGACTAGACTTCGGCAGTCTTCTCATTCATGAGTGAGAAGTTCTTGAGAGCCTCATGATGTTCTGTAAACTAACAGCTTAATGTTTCATCTATGCCTAGAACATCATGGATAAGGAGGCTGGAACGTACCTGTCAAAGGAATGAAACTGCATCGGAAGAATAGCTTGCGCTTCTCTCTTCAGTGCTGGGTCTGGGTATGGAATAGGCTCAGGGCCACATTCGGCAATCTCAACCGGGGCAGCCACAAGACTTTTCAGTATCTCCTTGACATTAATGCCTTTGGTTTGACTAATGCTAGATATGGATGGCGCAGGTTTCAGGATTTCACTGGGATGTTCAGTCAAGCTCTCCTGCGACTTCTTTACTTCGGATGACAAAGTGGATAAAAGTTCACTCATTGCATCAGGACCTGCACCAGTCTCTAGCTCTGCCCCATCCAGGATGCTAGCTACTTGCTCCTCTACCATTCCGGAATCTGTGTGAGGAACTGAACTCTCCAGCTGAATATCTTCACCAGGGGCTGGTGTTTCCTTCTCCTTTACAGTGTCTGGAAATGGAGCAGGTGTTTCTGTAACGAAAGAAATCAGTCTGATTTAAAAATGTCATGTGCAGGTAAGAAGCAAATGAAAGTCCATGGGTATATCTACACATGCACAGCGTTTATCAGCTCAGATACAGCATCCATATGTACACATCAAAACCCAATTTCTTAAAAAAAAATCAAAAAACAAACCTGTCTGACGTTATTCTAAAACAATCTTTAAGAGAATAACTCGATTTTTTGCTGTTTAACTTCTTTAGTTCTATATATAATATACTGGATATTAGCCCTCTGTCAGATAAAGGGTTGGTGAAGATTCTTTCCCAATCTGTAGGCTGTCGTTTTGTTCTGAGGACAGTGTCCTTTGCTTTACAGAAGGTTATCAGTTTCATGAGGTCCCATTTATTGATTGTTGCTCTTAGAGCCTGTGCTATTGGTGTTCTGTTCAGGAAGTTGTCTCCTGTGCCAATGAGCTCAAGGGCATTCCCAGCTTTTTCTTCTAAGCGGTTTAGTGTGTCTGGTTTTATGATGAGGTCTTTGATCCACTTGGACTTTAGTTTTGTGCAGGGTGATAAGTATGGATCTACTTGCATTTTTCTACATGTAGACTTCCAGTTAGACCAGCACCATTTGTTGAAGATGCTGTCTTTTTTCCACTGAATGGATTTGGCATCTTTGTCAAAAATCAGGTGTCCATAAGTGGGTGGATTTATGTCAGGGTATTCTATTCGATTCAAGTTAAACAGCAAAAAATCAAGTGATCCAATTAAAAAATGGGATACAGAGCTAAACAGAGAATTCTCTGAAGAAGAATACTGAATGGCAGAGAAACACTTAAAGAAATGCTCAACCTCATTAGCCATCAGGGAAATGCAAATCAAAATGACCCTGAGATTTCACCTTACACCCATCAGAATGGCTAAGATCAAAAACTCAAGAGACAACACATGCCTGCGAGGGTGTGGAGAAAGGGGAACCCTCCTCCACTGCTGGTGGGAATGTAAACTTGTACAACCACTCTAGAAAGCAATCTGGTGCTTTCTCAGACAACTAGGAATAGCGCTTCCTCAAGATCCAGCTATACCAGTCCTGGGCATATATCCAAAAGATTCTCAAGTACACAATAAGAACATTTGCTCAACCGTGTTTGTAGCAGCCTTATTTGTAATAGCCAGAAGCTGGAAACAGCCCAGATGCCCCTCACTGAAGAAATGGATACAAAAATTGTGATATATCTGCACAATGGAATATTACTCAGCAATAAAAAAAACAAGGAAATCATGAAATTTGCAGATAAATGGTGGGATCTGGAAAAGATCATCCTGAGTGAGCTATCCCAGAAGCAGAAAGACACACATGGTATATACTCATTCATATAGACATATAATATAGGATAAACCTACTAAAATCTGTACACCTAAAGAAACTAATCAAGAGGGAGGACTTTTGCTAAAATGCTCAATTTCTATCCAGAAAGGCAAAGAGGCTGGACATCAGAAGAAGGAGAAAAGAGAGAACAAGTCAGGAGCCTGACACAGAGGACCTCTGAAAAGCTCTGCCCTGCAGACCATCAATGTAGATGCTGAGACTTATGGGCAACCTTTGGGCAGAGTGCAGGGAATCTTAGGAAAGAAGTGGGATCTTTCAGTAAGATCTGGAGAGGACAGGAACTCCACAAGGAGAGCAACAGAACCAAAAAATCTGGGCACAGGGGTCTTTCCTGAGACTGCTATTCCAACCAAAGACTATGCATGGAGATAACCTAAGACCCCTGCACAGATGTAGTCCATGGCAGTTCAGTATCCAAGTGGGTTCCATTGTAATAGGAACAGTGGCTGTCTTTGACATGAACCGATTGGCCTGCTCTTTAATTACCTCCCCCTGAGGGGGAAGCAGCATTACCGGGCCACAGAAGAAGACAAGGCAGCCACTCCTGATGAGACCTAATTAACTAGGATCAGAAGGAAGGAAAAGAAGTCCTCCCCTGTCAGTGGACTAGGGGAGGGGGATGCATGCAGAGGGTGGAGGAAGGGTGGGGTTGGGACTGGAGGAGGGAGAGAACCACAGGGGGGATACAAAGTGAATAAAGTGTAATTAATAAAGAAAATAATTAAAGAAAACCTTACGCCAAAAAAGAGAATAACTCAACCAATTGCTTTTTATTTTATTTTAAATTTAATTTTATTTTTTATTATTAGTTATATTTTATTAACTCTGTATCCCAGCTGTATCCCACTCCGTTATTCCCTCCCAATCCCACCCTCTCTCCCTCATCTCCTCCCTGCCCCTTTCCAAATCCACTGATTGGGGAGGACCTCCTCCCCTTTCAGCTGACCCTATTTTATCAGGTATCTTCAGGACTGGCTGCAAAGTTCTCCTCTGTGGCCTAGCAGGACTGCTCCTCCCTTGTGGGGTAGGGAGGTCAAAGAGCCTGCCATTGAGTTCCTGTCAAAAATAGTCCCTGTTCCCCTTACTATGGGAAACCAATTGGTTACTGAGCTACCACGGGCTACATCGAGAAGAGGTTCCTGGTTATAGCCATACATGGTCCTTGGTGGAGTGTCAGTCTCAGAAAAGGCCCCTGTGCCCAGATATATTTGGTCCTTGTGGATTTTATTTTAATCACAGGCTATTCACTTGTATCCAGCCATAGCCCCTCCCACCCTCATCTCCTCCCTGCCCTCTTCCAAGTCCACTGATAGGGGAGGTCCTCTTCCCCTTCCATCTGACCCTAGCCTATCAGGTATCTTCAGGACTGGCTGCAATGTTCTTATCTGTGGCCTAGCAAGGGTGCTCCTCCCTTGGGGGGAAAAGGTGAAGATCAATGAGCCAGTCACTGAGTTCATGTCAGAAATAATCCTTGTCTGCCATACTAGGGAACCCACTTGGATACTGAGCTACCATGGGCTACACATCCGAACAGGGGTTTTTGGTTATAGCCATGCATTGTCCTTTGTTGGAAAAACAGTCTCACAGAAGGCCCCTGTGCCCTGATATATTTGGTCCTTGTGGAGCTCCTGTTCTGTCTAGGTCATACTAACTCCCCCTTCTTTCATATGATTCCCTGCACTCTCCCGAAGGTTTGGTTTTTAGTCTCAGCAGCTGCTTTGATACACTTTTGGGTAGTCTTTCAGATGCCCTCTGTGGTAGGGTCCTGTATAATGTTCTTTTCAAATATATACACCTTACCCTTGTTCATTCAAATGCTGATTTCTCCCCCCATCCCCGAACTCTGGTTTCAATCCAGATATTGCATTGTGATACTCATTCTAAGCATCCTGTCTCAACTTGGTGTAAACTTCCAAATAAAGCAACTAGACACAATGTTGTGCTGGGAGGAGCCAAAGAACAGAAAAGAGAGGAGCTAGAGGGCAGGAAATGAGTGGAAGGAGAAGGGGCAAAAGAAGAGCTTGGAGAGAGAGCTGGAGGAGGAATCTTTGAACTAGGTGGAGAGACGGACTGGACCTAAGATATCACTAAAAGCAAGTATAACGTGGGAAATCTAAATGTTAGGAAACTATGAGGGCTTGGAGGTTTAGGAGGGAGTAGCAATTGCCCAGCATTGTGTTCTAGGTTAACTGTATAAACCCAGTGTCTGTGTGGTGATTTGGTTATACAGCTGCTTAGGATTAACAGCAGCATTACCAGAAGATAAATCAATAGTAAATACTAATAGTCACCTACAACACAGTCTCATAGAAGACCAGTGTGCCCTGATATATTTGGTCCTTGTGAAGCTCCTGTTCCCTCTAGGTCATACTAACTCCCCCTTCTTTCATATGATTCCCTGCACTCTGCCAAAGGTTTGGTTATTAGTCTCAGCATCTGTTTTGATACACTGCTAGGTAGTCTTTCAGATGTCCTCTGTTGTAGGATCCTGTCCTATTGTTTGTTTTCTCCTACTTCCAATGACAATTCCCTTTGTCTTTCTGGGTAAGGACTGATCATCTTACCCTTGGTCCTCTTTCTTGTTTATCTTCTTTAGGTGTACATATTTTAGTATGTTTATCCTATTTTATAGGACTAGTACCACTTATAAGTGAGTATATACTGTGTGTGTCTTTCTGCTTCTGGGATACCTCACTCAGGATGATCTTTTCTAGATCCCACCATTTGCCTGCACATTTCATGATTTCCTTGTTTTTAATTTCCGAGTAGTATTCCATTGTGTAAAAGTACCACAATTTCTGTATCCATTCCTCTGTTGATGGACATCTGGGTTGTTTCCAGGTTCTGGCTATTACGAATAAAACTGCTACAAACATGGTTGCTCAAATGTCCTTGTTGTGTACTTGAGCATCTTTTGGATATATGGCTAGGAGTGGTATAGCTGGATCTTGAGGAAGCACTATTCCTGATTGTCTGAGAAAGTGCCAGATTGATTTCCAGAGTGGTTGTACAAGTTTACATTCCCACCAGCAATGGAAGAGGATTCCCCTTTCTCCACAACCTCTCCAGCATGTGTTGTCACTTGAGTTTTTCATCTTGGCCATTCTGATGGGTGTAAGGTGAAATATCAGGGTCATTTTGATTTGCATCTCTCTGATGGCTAAGGATGTTGAGCATCTCTTTAGTTGTTTCTCTGCCATTCTATATTCTTCTATAGAGAATTCTCTGTTTAGCTCTGTACCCCATTTTAATTAGATTGCTTGAATTATTGCCTTTTAACTTCTTTAGTTCTTTATATATTTTGGATATCAGCCCTCTGTCAGATGTAGGGTTGGTGAAGATCCTTTCCCAATCTGTAGGCTGTCGTTTTGTTCTGACAACAGTGTCCTTTGCTTTACAGTTTCACAAGGTCCCACTTATTGACTGTTGCTCTTAGAGCCTGTGCTGATGGTGTTCTGTTCAGGAAGTTGTCTCCTGTGCCAATGAGTTCTAGGCTGTTCCCTACTTTTTCTTCTAACCGATTTAGTGTATCTGGTTTTATATTGAGGTCTTTGATCTGCTTGGACTTTCATTTTGTGCAGGGTGATAAATATTGATCTATTTTTCATTTTCCTGTATGTAGACATCCAGTTGGACCA